TAGGACCAGCAGCCCTAAGCTTGTGTTCCCATCTTCTGGGCTTGTCCCCTATAAGACTGTGCTCCTGGGGGACCTTTGGGGAGGACAATGCTGCCTCTGCTGCTTAGCTTCCCCCGCTGTCTCTGCACTGATGGGGTCCTGGTGTCCCATCCCTTCCTCAGGTTGTCTGCCAGTTCAAGTTTCCTTTCTCCTGCTCCCCTAGCTCAGCCTGGTGCCTTGCATGGCCCTGGTCTTGCTGCCAGTCTCTTGCAGAGGGTGCGTCCCCATTGAGCAGAGTCCGGCAGCTCCCACTTGCCACAAGAACAGGAATGGCCCCTCCTCGTGGACAGGCTGTGTCCCATGGCCCCTGTTGCTCACCTCCTCAGGCAGTGTCAAGGCCAGTATGGGCTGATCCTTCAGGGACCCCCAGTGTTGGGTGCTGGGAAAGGCATTTGATGCCATCTCAATGCAGTTTTCCCTGTCACGGGATCTGGTTGTGCAAGGGATTTGTCTTGGATCAGGGTGCTGTGGGTTGCAGTTGGGGCAGAGCCCCCCCATTAGCTAACAACACCCCTGCCTCAATACCCTGTGGGTCCCCCGTGCACTGGGGCAAAGCATGGCATACGGGGCATTGGCGTTTGGCTGAGACCTTCAGGGGAGAGGCAGGGCATTATCCCAATGGGAGACAGCCTTGTTGGTCCCAGACCAGCAGGACTCCCAGGGCAGGGAGCACATGTGATACTCATGTGCTTGTGTGTAGCCAGTGCCCTGCAGCACATGTGCGCCCGGGATTATTCATATCGGGGCTTGGGCTCCCATGCAGAGTTTGCCTTGGGGTGGGGGATGGATGAACCAGCTGGCGTCCCGAGGCCCTTTCCAGCCTTATTTGCTGTGACTCTGCAATCCCTTTCCCTCTGTTTGGATTATTCTTTGCTAACAACAATGTGGTTTCTCTGCTCTTAGCCTCCCCCATCTGCCAACAAATACACCCCCACGCACATACCTCCCTAACATCGTCTCCCACCAAAGGAAGGTATAAGAGTGCAGGTGCCCATTGCCCTTTGCAATCCTGACTTCATTCACCATCCTCAGCCGCTGGAGTCCTGTGACCCCAAGGACAGGAGGATGGGGAGGCAGGGGGGACATCTGCTGCCGTCTCCTTTCCCTCCAGCAAACATGCACAGTCACTTGTATGCTTGCCCTCATCCACTCGCCCCCTCTCTGGACCATTGATCAATTCTGACATTGTTTCTACAGGGAACGCTCTTGAGAAAACATGGCAAGGGGACAGAGAAGGTAATCAGCCCTCTGGCTTCTTTGACTGTCTGTGATAGCAATGTACAACCAGCCCAGGTCAAATCACTCACTGGCTCTGCTGAGCACCTCTGGGCAGGTGGACTTTGGGTGTCGTGACTCCTGTGTTGTGTTGTCTGGGTGTGTGCTGTGTTGTGCTGTTTGACTATGTATTCCTGGGGGAGGGATGTGCCAGCTGGGGGTGCAGTGACACGTGTATGTGTGTGTGTTGCCCGGTGCAGCGTGTCGTGTTGTGTTTCAGGTGTGTCGGTGCCTCTCGTGCTGTGATCGTGGTGTGTGGTCTGGGGTCCATGTGTGTGGTGGGTATCAATGCATGTGCCACACAGGCTGGGCGTGTGTTACCTTGTTAGCGGGCATAGTTGGGTAGACGTGCGAGAGACCAGGGGCACACCTGCTGTAGGGGGTGAGCCAGCTATCCTTAGAGATCCCTGGCTGTGGCTGCAGATCAGATGGGTGCAGGAAGGAGCTCCCAGCTATAGCAAAGGCAGGGCCACAGGGTTGGTTTCCCGGAGGAGCAGGGGGACACCCAGCTGGCCTGTCATCACCTAGCCCTGCCTTTCCATGGGGTTAATGTTCTGGTTCCTGTGGTGCAAGGGAACAGATCTGCGCCAAAAGGAGCCCTGATACCGGGCAGCAGCCTGGCACCTTGCAGAGGGAAGCAGGAGCACAATACCCTCCCCAGCCCACTGCAGAGTGCCAGGCATATCCCCAGGAAAGTGCCCAGTGGGAAACACAGCAGGCAGATTTGCTGCAGGGCTGGGGACAAGGAGGTAGCAGAGTGAGCTGCCAGCTGGCCCAGAGCATAGCAGTGTGTATTGGTTTGGGAGACATTAGGTGTGTATGTACTTCTGTGTGTGCGCGCGTGCATACGTGTGTGCACGTACACAAGGTGTGAGCTGTATGGAGGTGGGTAGGAAGCCATGTCTCCTGGAAATGGTTAGCCAGGAGCTGCTCCTGGCAGGAATATTGAGAGAAGCAGTCTGGGCAGTGAGGGTGAGGGAGGAGTGACTCTTGGGGGTCAGCGCGTGCCGGAGGGGCACGCCACTCGCTCCCCCTGCCAAACAAAACTCTTACTAGGCTTCTGCCTTCTCACAGCCCAGGGGTGAGGCAGTACCTGGCAGACTTGGCTGGTAGTCCGGCCTGGTCATCATGTCCATCTGAAATGGTCTTTTTTAACATTTTGGGTTCAAATGGCACTGGATGTGGGGCAGTTAAAGAGTAGCCCCAGAGCCCAAGGCAATACACCAAGAGCCAGAGCAGCTGTCCAGTTTATCATCTGAAAACACTCAGCCAGGCTGAAGAGGGAAGTGTGCACGTGAGAGCTGAAGTGTGGGGCTGGGAGCCCCGGCTCCTGGGCTCTCTGTTTGGCCACTGATTTGCTTTTTGAGCATGCACCACCCACCTTCTCCCGGCACGCCTGAGTTTCCAAAAATCACTCTAAAAGAGAAGTGACCTGCTCCCAGGGAGCTTGGGGTCAATCAGCAGGAGCTTGTAGCAGACCCTGAGATCCTATAAGGGCAGGGAAATGGAAAAGGAAGTGGCTGGCCATGCAGATTGCCATCTAGCAAGGTGAGCAACTTGTGAAATAAGGGCGAGACCTGACAGACTCATCACAGGCACTATTCTGAGGCAATGGGGCAGATCCTCCCCTGGTATAGACAGGTGCCAAGAGAGATGTGCCGGCTTACACTATCAAGGACCCAGGCCCAGAAAGTCCAGGCCTCACCACCACTGGCCAGAGGAGAGAGCATTCACGGCCCTGCCTCCGCAGCATCCGGGGCTGGTGCACATCTGTCCTCGGCACAGGGAGGGGGTGCGGGCACTGGAGGGCTTGTGTGTTCGCTGCTGCTGAAGCCAATAACCATATCCAATGCTGTTCTCTTTCCAGAGCAGGGTGAAGCTGCCCAGTCACACAGATGTAAGGATGCTGTGTTTATTTCTAACCTTGCTTGGTGCCCCTCCTTCCTCTGTGCCTCTTGCCTTTGTTCCCTGAGTTGTCGTCCTGTGCATTTGGGGGTGGTTTGGGGGCAGGCCTGTCACTTGTCTCGCTGGTCGCTGTTGTACTGAAAGCCTTTCTTCCTGACTGTGTCTCTTCTTGCTTACCTGCTTGCATGCAGGGGGCAGCCGGGGGGTGGGGACTCGGGGCCAGCCGGAGAAGGACTGAGGGGAGGTCATGTCATAGCAGAGATAATGGAGCTGCCGCCAGGAGACATGAAGGTGTGTAGGGACTGGTCCTGTCCTGCTGGCAGTCCCAGCCCTGCAGAAGGGAGCAAGGGCTAGTGATTAGTGGGGGGAGTCAGGGCACTTGGGTTCCCTCCTGGCTTTGGGAGGAGCTATGCCTAGTGGCTAGTGCCAGAGTCTGGGAATCAGGAGTCACTCCTGGCTCAGCCTCACTGGGGAGCACTTCCCCCCACACCCCAGCCAGCAAGGGGGACAGTCCCCCCACAAGCAGCAGGGGCAGCTGAGGTGCCCTGCCATTGTGTTGAAGGATGGTGCAGGGCTGGAGGAGCTGATTCAGGGGCTGGGACTGGGCCTGACCCGGGTGACACAGCTCATTCCCACCCCTCAGCCCTGACACTTAGAGGTTAGGGCAGGGGTAGGCAACCTCCAGCATGGGTGCCAGAGCGTAGCACATGAAGGCATGTCACTTGGCATGCATGCCTTGGGGTGGATGGCAGGGAAGGGGCTAGGGCTGTGCTGCTCCAACAAGGATTGGTCCCCTTGCGGCTTCCCCGCTCGCCAACATCTTACAAGTCAAGGGTGCAGGTGTTTTTGGCACTCTGTCCAAAAATGTTGCTGACCCTTGGGTTAGGGCCTGATTAGCCTGAGGTGTGCCTGGCTGAGTCCTTTCCCTCTCTGTGGCAGCAGCTTGGCCAGGGCCGAGGGGCATAGAGTGCAGCCTTTGTAAATGGGCATTGGAGGGAGACGCATCCGGTCCCAAGAGGAGAGACCCGCAGGGGTGGCAGCTTGCACAAGTCCATCCCCCTGTGCCCCCTTCTAGCCAACACCAGGACAGCCACCAGCCTTGCCCTGTTGCCACTGCCTCCCTGTCCAGGGGCTAAGAGCCCCTGTGCGGCAACGGCCTCTCCCAGCCTCTGATGGGGGATAGCAGGGCTGGGCTCAAAGCCCTTCCTTCAGGAGTGGGAGAGGGTGGCTGGGGAGCTCAGGCAACCCTGGTACAGAGCAGAGAGATGGGGAGGGGAGGAAGAAAGCACACGAGGGGGCAGCATCCAGCACATGCAGAATCGTCACCACGGGCAAGTTCACCCAGCCCTGCGGGTCCCCATGGCTGCAGGGTGGTTGCTGAGGGATCAGAGAGCGAGCTGGACTCTCCGCCTCGGGTCCAGGGCTGCTGTCTCCGTGTCACCCCCGGCTCCTCTGTATCCTCCTGTTCCTCTCTGTGGCCTGTTGCACTCGAGCCCTCTCTCTCACCCTGTTTAGCCTTCTCTTTTCTTTTACGCTCCCTGGCTTGTTTGGTTCTTGTTTGGCTGTGATCGGTGGCGGGAGGGGGAGCATAGCTGGGTTTTAGGCTCTGTTTCTGATCTCCTAGCCCCTGTCCTCAGCTGAGCCCCCTGCCAGGATGGGGGGGCCAGGGCAAGAGGTGGCAGGACCTTAGGTCTGGAAGGGGAAGCTGAAAGCACCTTCAGCATAGGCTGCTTGCTGGAGTTGTCTGGCTCAGAGGGAGAGTGAGCAGCCTGGCTCCAGTATGATCGCAGATTTACACCTTGGAGGCCCGTGCCTGTAGCTGCAAAGCCCATTCCTCACATCCTGGGCCAAGCTCTAGGGCAGGGGATTGGCAGGGAGCCCCTCATTTCCTGAATATTGACCTCTCCCTCCTGGAGAAGGGCCTTATGCCAGAGGGCAAGCTTCACGCCTGGCCCAGAGGGACTCCAGGAAGGGCCAAATTTGATGGCTGGCTTGTCACTTGAGGCAGAGAGCTTGACACAGCATAGGGCATGGGCACAGCACTGGCTGCAGTTCAAACATGTCAGCTCCACAGTCCTCCAGGCATGACATCACTGCAGGTGTCCAGCAAAACAGGGAGTAGCCCCTACAGCCCTTAGTCTCCTACAAGGTCCACTGTCCCAGCCCAGGGGTCCTGCAGGCACAAGGGAGGGGAGGAACATTTGTTTGGATCACTCACTCTTGTCCTTTTTGCTTCCCAAATGTCCCCGTGGCAGTGCTCCTGGTCCCAGGCACGATATGTCCCCAGCCTGCCCAAAAATACAGCTCACTGCTGCTAAAGATGCAAACAACTGTGCATGGGTGGTGGGCAGACACATCGGGGGACAGGTAGGGCATTGCATTCCAGATGGACACACACACGTATACTGATGCCAGCCCTCTCTGCTCTGTCCTGTGATCCACGTCCCCGCTTGGGGGAACTTCCAGCACCATGTCAAGGGCTGAGACCAGCCAGTGTAGCATCCTGCTCACATGGCCTTTCATTTTTTGTTGTCTCTCTTGTGCACTGCAGGGCACCCAGATGATCTTCAATGCAGCCAAGGAGCTGGGACAGCTGTCAAAACTGAAGGGCTTCAGCTCAGGCGAGGGACTGTTTGCATCGGGTTTGCATTCAAGGCAGGGGCTACCAAACCACCAGGCTGTTATTCAGTGGATGCATGTGGCACAGGCAACCGTCTGTACCTGGAAATCTGCTTGGATTACCAGTGGTTGTTAATGGGACATGGGAAGCTGGCTAGTGAGACATCACTAAAACGTCCTTGCGAGCGTCATTCCTAATGCACCGTTGCACATGCTGTGCCCAGGTATGGTGCCTCAGTGCATAGTTGGGGAGTAGGGGAAAGGAGCCAGGCACCAAGTTCGGACTCTGTGCCCCAGGGCTTGGGGAAGTGGGTGGTGCAGAACTGGGTCTCACAGATGGGCTCACCCTTTCAGGACCACATGGTGCGTGAGGAGGCCAAAAGCCTGACCCCCAAGCAGTGTGCGGTGGTGGAGCTGGCGCTGGACACCATCAAGGTAAGTCTCCATCCATTGCTCTGCCCGTTGCTGTAGTGCCTGAGAGCCCTGGGACAGGCACATCTCTGCCTCGGGGAACTTAAGACTCTGAGACAAAAGGCTGGGGATGGATACAGACAAGTGGGGGACCAGTGAGATGGTACTGAGTGACAGGAGCCACCGCATCCCTGTCTGCCTGCTGCCCTTCCCCAGCAGCATCCCAGGCTTGGCAGGTTGGTGGGGCGAGCGGTGGCTGGCAATGGAGGTGCTAGGGACTGCAAGGGCTGCACTGGGGAGCCACCTACCCAAAGATGCAGCAGGGGAAGTGTGAGTTGGTGTGACAGCACTGGGGCATAGGGTGGTGCTGCGACCTCCTTGCTGGGGCCTTGTCCGGTACAGCCGGGCTGTGCAGGAGGCACCATGACACCTTCCTGGCACACTGGCTGCCATGCTGCTTTGTCTTGTAGCTGTCTGGCCATGCCCACCCTGCCCAGGGACTCCCACCTGCCTCCACTTCCATCCTAACTCCTCTTTCCCCCACAGCAATATTTCCATGCAGGAGGAGTTGGGCTGAAGAAAACCTTCCTGGAGAAGAGCCCCGACCTGCAGTCCCTGCGCTACGCCCTCTCCCTGTACACACAGGCCACTGATCTGCTCATCAAAACCTTTGTGCAGACACAGTCGTCTCAGGGTAAGCACTGTTATCACCTGCCCCCCACCCACCTGCAGCTGCTGGCCTGTGCTGCCACAGCTGCGGCACCCTGCTCTTACCTGGGGCTTAGTGCACCAGGTGTGTCTGCCCCTGCCGCCGGGCACAGCAGTGCCACCCAGTGCACACGGCCTATCTGTGGGGAGGGCGCCCGGGGTGCTCTCTGGCCTGTCCCACTTCTCAGGGTACAGTGACATATGACTAGAGCCACAGTGAGGGACCAGCGTGCAAAGGGATAAAAAGGCTGTGCCCCCCCCCCCCCCCAACACACTTTCCCATGGGTGGGGGTTTCAGATGTCGTGGGGCAGGAATCCTGGTGGTCAGGGACTGGGGCATTTGCCCCTGATACTGCCTGTGCCACCTGTTGGGCAAGAAGAAGCCTCGAGCAGCCTGCCCCCTTCTCCCACCCCGTGCAGGGGGTAATGCCCTGACTCCCATGGCATCCTGCTTGACTCCAGGATGGGGGCCATGCAGCCTGCACTCCACACACCCCAAGAAGGCTGTGGCTGGGGAGTGGCTACACTTGAGGCAGAAGTTGGCCCTCAGCCTATGCCAAGGTGACTGGTTGTGGCTGCTGTAGCTCTGGGGAGCCCAGACTGACACTGGGGACGTGACTGGCAGAGGCATGGAGCACTCGCAACCCCCAGCAGGTCAGGGGCAGTCAGCATCCTTGGCAGTCTGGCCCCAGGGGGCTCCAGCTGAGTCCCCAGGGGCACTTAGGGGAGGGGTATGAGCCCAGCATGGGGACAGTGGGCGAGTCTCCAGCCCTGCTGTCACTATGAACGGCACACAGGTCGCCTCAGGGTGTTCAGGCCACTATTAACCTCGCCATCAGGCCCCCAGCACCATCTTCCTCATGTCACCATAAAGTGCAGCCCATGCCCTAGCCAAGGGGAGGGGTGGCTGTGTGTGCAGACAGTGCGCCACGGGCAGAAGGAATGAGCGTGCCAAGGAGACAGGTGCAGGCAGGCACGTCTGCATGGGCAGGGCTCCATCCAGGTGGGTGTCAGCCCCAGGCGCTGCAGGACGTAGGAGGACCCAGCAGGGGTGGGAGTCTTTGACTTCTCTCTGTGTCTCTGAGTGGGGAACCTGTCCTGTCTGTGCCTTTTGTCTGGTGGCTGCAGGCTACATTGTGCATGGGGAGCCAGGCCTACGGACGGGCTGTGCTGGGAGACTTAACTCCACCCTTGTTCCCCACCTACACCCACGAGGGGTCGGGGGGCTGCTCACTGCTGGTGCCTTCGCCTCACAGGGGAACCGGTGCTACGTCACCAGGCCCACGTGCCAGCTGGCCCTGGGCTGGCAGGAACCACCTGCACCCCCAGCAGAGTGAAAGCACTGGAAAGAAACCGCCCCAGCGATGCAGGAAACCCCCTCCCCGGTGCTATCCCTCTTCAGGCCCGCAGGAGTCCCACCCCCAGCACACCCCGCGCCCAGGCCTTTTGACTCTGTGTTGCTGTGATGTCTTGTTTTGGATTCTCAGCCGGCTCTATCTGATCTCTCTCTCTGTTTTTTTCTTCCCTACCTTTTAACGTTTTCCCCTGTTTCCCTCCCTGACACACATTCTCTTTCTCTTGCTCTTTCTCTCCTCTCCGTCTCTTCCCTGTCTCTCTCTCTCCCTTTTGCCTCTTTACTAGTCCATGGTGGAAAAGGTATTAGGTTTACCCTTAGTGAAGAAATTTATCCAGAGAAGGGTACGTCTGCCATTCTCAACCCCTGATGCACCTGTCCCGAGCACCCCACCCCACCCGCCGGTCAGGGCTAGTAACAGTCCCAGCACCCAGAGCAGGCTGCTCGCACCCCTGCAGGGAGGGTTCTTCAGGGCCTCTTCATTCGGGGCTGGTTGAGATGTCAGAGGACTTGCCTCCGTCCATGCCTGGGCTGTGTCCATGGCTCTGCTTCTCTGAGTCAGGCCCCTCCAGGCAAATTTTACAGGAAATGGTCCCGGCAGCGGGTGGGTTGGGACGGTGTCACACAGATGTCTGTCCATCCAGACTGGGCATCTGTCTGAAAGAGGCCGTCTTCTTCCTCCTTTCGAGATGGTAGGTGCAGGCATCGCTGCATGTCATGCCAAGGGCTTTGCTGCATGAGGGTAGGAGCAGAGGATCAGATTGGTCCATTCTGGCCTTAAAAATCTCTTAGCCTCAGTACCCCAAGCACCTTGGTTTAATGTGCTCTGCAGCGGGTGGGATGTGGAGGCGTTGCTGGGCTCCAGAGCCCAACTGGGAGCAAGGTCCAGGCAGCTGAGAGGGCCCGAACCTCTGCTCTGCTGAGCCAGGCACAGGCAGCCTGTCATCACCAAGTCTCCCAGAGCTTTGCTGTGAAAGCATGGCATGGGATGTGCTGTGATGCCCACCCGGCCTCAGCCTTGAAGAGCCCAGGGGGTCCTAGAATAGCCAAGCTGTGGCCAGCAGCTCACCAGACTCAGGGCCCTCACTGCGGGGGAGACTCTTACTAGCCTTGCTCCAGGTGCACACACCAAGCCCTGCCCCCCCACCCCACCCCCCTTAAGCAAGTGGAATGACTGCATCAGGATGGGGGCGGGGGGCTGCCACCCCCGCACACAGCTTGGCACTGCCACTCACCTTCCAGCTGCCGGTGTCAGCTCCATGTTGGCCTGCGGAGCGGCACGGTGGTTTGTTTGTTCCATGCTTGCGTTGAGCACTGAGATGATCTCTCCTCCTGCCCTTGATCTTTGGATTGAATGAGTCTCAGCATGCGACTCGGGGATGGGGATGGGGATGGGTGGGTATCGCTTTGGTTCAGCGCAGATCTGGAAGGACAAGAAAAATATCCGTGGGTGCATCTGTTCTGCAGGTGGGGGCCAAAGACTATGGATCCGGAGTATTTATTCCACCCTCCCCGCCTACCAGAGCATCTGCTGCTCCCCTCACCTCCACTTTTCAGATGCAGCTGGAGTCAGTGTGTGCAGAAACCACCCCCTGACCCCATGGGTCACGAGATTGCACTACTGCAGCCCCAGTCTCAGCTGTTTGAGCTGAGAGAGTAGCTCCATTAGCTGCCAGCAACAGTAGGCTGTTATCTGCCATCACTGCACACCCTTTTGCCATAAGGTCACACAGGCACAAGGCCTGTGCTGTGCATATGAGTAAGGTGATCAGACCAGAGACAAGCCAAGATGCTTCTACCATCTCCCTGTAGGGGTTTCCTACAGGATCCCACTCTGCCTCCAAGGGGATTCTTACTGCTGTGCTCTGCCTGGAACCCCCAAACCACAGCCAGAGTAGGCCAGTGCAGATCAGTGCTCAGTAGCTCCCTTCTCTCCTGTCTGGGGCGGGGGCAGGCCCCCAGCTGGATTCCCACTGTGCTGGTGTGCTGCACAGTGATAACATGGCACTGCTGGTAGCATAGCTCCTAGAGGAACCCAGTCCCAAAGCCCCTGGCATAAAGGGAGAGAGCTGCACCACTGCTCTGCTTTGCACAAACAGCCCCAGGGGGCCTAGGGCTAGGCCCAGTGGGTTATACCACCACTGCACAGCTCTTGCAGGCCCTGTCTGGACAGACCCTATATGACTCAGTGTCCCACCCCCCCACCAATGCCTCCAGCCCCACAAAGCTAATGCAAGGCAATGTCCTTTGCTCTGCAGCAAGGAGTTTGTCCTGGGACCGGGGTGGGCTTGAGAGCTGCACATGGAAGAGGGTCTGTCCATGCAGCAGGGACCAGCTAACCCCACCCCTGGGGCACTTTCCCACCCCGAATTCCTGCTTCAGGATCCATAGTCTCTGAGCCTTGCAGAACAGGATGGCTCCCTGCAGGCGCCAGCCTGCCTCTCTCAGCCCTGTTTCCCCCACGATGGTTTGGAAGAGTCTCCCGCACCCTCACTAGACTTTTGGACCCCCTCGGTTGGATGGAATTGTTGCAATCCTGTCCAACGTGCCGTGCGCGTGGCCCCCTCACTCCCTGCCCTCCGCCTCATGCTGCATGCGGTGTCCCGAGCCAGCCTGTTTGGAAAGCTGAACCAGCCAGCGGATTGAGATTTGCCTTTGGGGAAACTGCAAGGCGCGTTGGCCAGGAGTGGGGGGTGGGGAGACCTTGGGGCAGGGAGGGAGGGGCACGGCTGGTGGTCTCAGGTCACAAGCGCTTGCTCACCGGCAGCCTGGGACTGTGGGATTCTGGGCTCGTGGAGGCGGGGGGGTCAGGTTAGACACTGCCCGCACCTGTCAGGATGGATCGGAGGGATGTGGCGTCTGAGCCGTGACACATGGTAGACCCCGCTGAGCCCATTAGGGGATGCTCTGTTCTGGCTCCCAGCCCCACCAATTGGAGTGGTCAGCGGCTGCCCAGGGAGCGGTAGTGAGGGGTGAGGAGGGAGCTTGTTGTGGTGCCCGAGCAGGACTGCCAGCACCCCCTTGCCCCCCAGCTCACAGTATGCAGGCATGGGCACAGGAGCAGTGGAAGCCTCTCTCTTCCAAAGCACGAATAGAAAGGATCATAAATATCCTCGGCTGCACCCTTCCTCCACCAAGCCCCCTGCATCCTGCATGTTCGAACAGGCTCAGCACCCAAATGAGTTACAGAGCCTCTGTGACCAGGTCCTGTCACAGCCACTGCCTGTGAGTTATGGCCCAATAACAGAGGAAGCTCATTGCTGCAATTAGCCTTGGCCCTGCACTTCCCCCTTTGCTATGAAAAGATGAGGCCTGCGTCCAGTACCTCCTCAGCATCTCATGCCCGTATTTAATTTCTAGTGCATGACAAAGGGGATACCGTGCAGCAAGCAGAAATGCTGTTGCAAGAGCCCCAGGGCTCAGCACAAGCTTCTAGAAGTGAGGTTAGGAGAGCCAGGAGTCCAGACTCCCGGGTTCTTGGCTCTGCCACAGACTATGCAAGTGGGCCTTGGTCATGACACATGCATGGCTGTAGCACCAAAAACTGCAACTGCAGAGCTCCTGGAGCAAAAGGAAAAGATGCATAAAAGGGAGAGGTGCCAAGAGGCACGAGGAAGGGAGAACATCTTGCTCAAGGTCAGTGGTAGAACTGGAAATAAACTAGAAGTCGGGGGCTCTGGGTCCATCATGCTCTCCATTGGGCAATGCTGCATCTGCAACTCGGTTACGTCATTACAAAGCAGGGAGTTTAGGGCCCAGAGGAGTGTGGCTCAGGTCCTTGTCTTGTGAAGCTGGTGACGAACCAGGGTCACTCTGCTGCCTCCCATAGAGTTGCTCCAGGGCTGCACGTTGAAGATTGCCACAATGATTGTCAGCCCCAAGGGAAGGGTAATAGGAGATTGGACTAGCAGCACCGTGCACCTTTCACCTAGGCTTTGCTCAAGCATGGGGAAGGCTGGGGCTGCCCTTCACCCCACATCCATCTCACACAGCTGCTTTGGAAAGCAGGGGGTGGGGGTAGAAAAATTCTGGAAATGTAGTGCATCTGAGCTGCTTGGAGCAAGCAGGTGATCTGAGTCCTCCAGCCGGGCAGGGCCAGGGCACAGCTTTGCCCAAGGTCCTCATTCCAGGGCCGGGCACTCACTCCTTCCCTTCCCCTTGTGGAGCAGGATCCGGCGTGGATGACCCAGTTGGGGAGGTGTCCATCCATGTGGAGCTCTTCACACACCCTGGCACTGGGGAGCACAAGGTCACCGTCAAAGGTACGTCCCATGTGAAGGCAGGGCCAAGAGCCCAGCACAAGGCTGGCAGTGGATGGCAGGCTTCTCCCTCTGGCTCTGGGACTGAGCTGCAGCACCTGAAAGTGGGACTAGTGCTTGTACTTAACCCAGTGCAACACATGGAGCATGTGCCAGGGAAACAGAGAGCCCCCACCCTCAACTCTGCCTGTGCCCCCTTGGCAGCCCATGGCCACACCCTTGCAGAAGGGCTAGTGCAAGCACTTGCAGGGAGTTGAAACCTTCAGCAATTGAGCTGGAAAAAGCTAAGAGCAGCCAGACAGACCCCGCAGACAGCACAGGACTGCCTACTCCCATGCTGCTCTGACATGGCTCTCTTTCTGGCAGTGGTGGCTGCTAACGACCTGAAGTGGCAGACATCCGGCATCTTCCGGCCCTTCATTGAGGTCAACATCATTGGGCCTAGTCTCAGCGACAAGAAGAGGAAATTCGCCACCAAGTCCAAGAACAACAGCTGGGCACCCAAATACAACGAGAGCTTCCAGTTGTGAGTGATGCTGATGCATGTTTCCTTCCTCTCCCCAACTTCCCTGCCTCCAACAGCTGAGCTGGGCAGGGCCAAGAGTTGCAAGTGGGCTGGAGGCAGTAAGGCCACCACTGCCTCCCTTCCCTGCTAGTTAGCTGATGCTAGAGCTCACCTAGGGAGGTGCAATGCCCCTCAGGGTGCCTGCTAGGACTGCTCACATGTTTTTCCAGTAGTGCCATGGCAGGTGGGCAAGAGGGCACAAGCCCCAGGACCTCTGTCAAGGGGAGGGTGGGTGGCACAGAGCTGAGCAGCTGCAGCTCCAGCAGTAGGTACAAGCAGAGCCCTCAGGGGCAGCCCATGGTGCAGGAGCAGTGGCTGGAAGTTTGTTGCTGCAGGGAGCAGACGTCACCCCTTTAGACTGTGAAATAGCAGTGTTTAAACAGCCACTCGACTGGCTCCTCTGCTTTTGGCACTGACGTGCAAGTCTCCCACCATCAGCCCAGTGGTGAACTTCCAGCTGCTGCTTTTGCACCCCTGTGCTGCCACCACCCAGGACACAGAATTGGCCCATTTCCCCTTTGCCTCGTTCCATCTAGAACTAGTTTTCCCTGAGGACTGAAGCACTTGTATTCTGCAAAAGGTGCCCAGCTGCTTCCCAGAGCAAAGGGCTGGAAAGCATCTCCCCCAATGCACCATGGGCTGCTCATCAGCAAGGATACCAGGTACATTGTGGGAGATGCAATCCAAGCACCAAACTGGGTTTACGGAGGAGACTAGGAGCACAAAGCAGCTGAACCACAACAGCCTTAAGACAGTTTCCATGCGACAAGGCCATCTGTCTGTCACACAGCTTCTTTTCAAGCCTCAGCCTTGAGACTTTGGCCAGCTTGAATTTTTCCAGGATAAAAATGTAGCAGCAACCAACTTCTTCATTTTTCTGTCTGCTGCCACCTTTCAAGTGCCAGCTTCTGGCTAGGCCTTAAGCCCCAGGCTCTGGTCCCTGGCAGAGCCCAGCTCAGGGCCAACAGAAACAGTCTGTCTGCAGCTGGTACTTTAGTTTTGCAGTTCACACCAACAACCATCTCCTCGAGTTCCTCAGCCATCATTAGAGCAAATATGATGGTGCAGACTGATGCTCATGAAAAAGCCTTTGATTGACACCCCCTCCCTAGTAAATTGTTGCTCATAAGTAATTATTCAATCTGTCCCCACCTCAGCTGAAGAGCTCACAGAACTAGGTTTTTAGGATGGGCACAGACTGAATAAGATGACTATAAGACCTGGAATCTGAGTTGGATAATGCCCTGCCCCCCTCCCACAAGCTCCCTGGCCCCACATCAGGCAAACCACTCAAGCCATCTGACTGCCTATCTGCAGCTGCCTTTCCTCACTGGGGGGGGGATAGAGGGGGCATTGCAGCCTGCCTGCCAGGAGGTGGCATTACATAGGGGGAGCACTGATGGAGCAGAGCCTCTGGTTTCATAGATTTCATAGACATTAGGGCTGGAAGGGACCTTGTAAGATCATCAGGTCCAGCCCCCTGCCCAAGGGGGAAGTCAGCTAAGGGCAGAGGATCCCAGCCAGGTCAGTATTCAAATGTTTCTTTAAAAAGTGTCCAGAGTAGGTGCTTGCACCACCTCTGGGGGGGCAGTCTGTTCCAGGCCTTGGGGGCTCAGACAGTAAAGTAGTTTTTCCTTAGGTCTATCCTAAAACAGTCTTGCAGGAGTTTGTGACCATTGGATCTCGTCATCCCTTGGGGTGCTCTGGTGAACAGGTGTTCCCCCAGGTCCTGATGCACACCTCTTATATACTTTTGGTGGCAGCCTGTCTCCCCTGAGCCTGCGCTTCTCCCATGGCTCATAGCCAGTCTTCATAAGACCGGTTCTCTTCCCCTCTGATCGTGCATGTGGCTCTCCTCTGGACTCTTTCAAGCTTCTCCACATCCTTCCTGAATTGTGGAGCCCAGAATTGGATGCAGGACTCCAGCTGTGGCCTCACCAAGGCTGAGTACAGTGGGAGGATGACATCCTGGACCTTGCTCGAGATGTATCGGAAGATACAAGCCAGAATTTCGTTTGCTTTGCCAGCTGCGGTGTCACATTGGTGCCTCATGTTCATCTTGTGGTCAACCATGACCCCCAAGTCTCTTCTGGTTATGGTGCTAGTGAGTGTAGCATTGCCAAGCCTATAAGTGTGATGTGGCTTTCCCGGATTCCCCTCCCACCCCCACCCACGGTGGAGCATCTTGCATTTCTCCATATTGAATGCCACCAGGTTTTCATCCGCCCAGCTTGCAAGCCGATCGAGGTTGGCCTGGATCACCAGCCTATCCTCAAGTGTGGACACTCTTCCCCAAAGTTTGGTGTCATCAGCAACTTTAGCCAGTCCACTTCTTAAATGACCTGAACACCGGTGTCAGACTACATTAAAGAGAGTACAGGTCTGAGAACAGAGCCTTGGGGGGCACCGCTAGGCACCGAGTGCCGTGTTGATTCGGTTCTGACAACTACCGCTCTCTGGGTCCGACCTCAGAGCTAATTCCCCAGCCATTGGACTGTGGAGTAGTTGAGGCCTCAGTTGCCCAATTTTTCCATAAGGACATCATGGGACACCAGCTCAAAGGCTTTTTTAAAGTCCAAATATATGACATCAACCTCTTCCCTTTTGTTCAGGTGATACGTCACCTGGTCATAGAAGGAAATGAGGTTGATCAGGCAAGACCTACCCACAACAAACCCATCCTGGCTACCCCGCAGAATATTGCCTTCTGTTACTCTGTCAAGAATGGTGTCTTTGATACATTTTCTCCAAAATCTTCCTAGGGATTGAGGTCAAACTGATTGGCCTGTAGTCTCCCAGGTCTTCTTTCCTCCCTTTCTTGAAGATAGAAGGCCAATGTGGTGCCTTCCAATCTTCGGGTACTTCCCCCACATACCACAAGTTCTCAAATATCCTTGCCAGTGGCTGTGCTATGATGTCTGCCAGTTACTTTAGCACTCTTGGGTGCAGTCTATCCAGACCAGCTGATTTGTGGGGTCCAGCCTCTCGAGATGCTCCCTCACAAGGTCCATGCCAATGGTGGGCATATATTCATCCTCACCCTGGTCATCCTGCATCACGGTCAGGCAGGATTGTCCCTTTGGGCTGGTGAAAAACCAATGCAAAGTAATCATTAAGCAGATTGGCTTTTTCCTGGGTGTCGGTAATTGGGTGTCCCAGCTGGTTTAGCAGGGGTCCAATGTTGCCCTTGTTTTTCTTTCAACTCCCCATGTATCTGAAGGACTTATTGTCCTCGATTCATGTAGCCAGTTGGAGCGGAGTTGCAACCTTGGCTTTCCTAGTTTGCTCCCTACTGCAGAATACTCCTCCTTAGTGGTGTTTTCCATCTTCCATCCTTTATAAGCCTCTCTTTTTAGACATAGCAGGTCCATGAGTTCCTTCTTGAGCCAAGGGGGTTGTTAAGCTTTTTTAACCACCTTTCCCTCTCCTTGTGCTTCTAGGATTGCTTCCTTAAGGAGCAACCACTCATCCTGAACTCCCCTCCCTGTGAAATCATGCCCTCTCAGGGCCTCAAAAACAAGCCTCCTGAGCTTATGAAAGTCAGCTGAGGCAAGGACAGTAGTTAGCACTTCTGGGATCCAGTCTGTATGGTGGCCATACACTCACCCAATGTAGAAAGCACCCCCCTTCACTCAGCTACAGGGAAGGAGGCAGGACAATTTGGCAGAGGCTGACAGTTCTCCGTTTCAAGCAGGAAAAGGGAGGTTCACGGACTCAGGCACTGGCCTGGGGCTACTGGCCAACTACACTCCCTTCTGCCACAGGCAGAGTAAACAGGAGGTCCCTGGGCAGTAGGGGGTTAACAGGGTGCCACAGGGCAGTCACAGTGCCTGCGCTCTTCTCCCAATGCAGCACCCTAGGCAGCGAGACAGGCCCCGAGTGCTACGAGCTGCAGGTGTGCGTGAAGGACTACTGCTTCGCCCGTGAGGACCGCACCGTGGGCATTGCCGTGATGCAGCTCAAGGACATCATGCAGCGTGGCAGCTGTGCCTGCTGGCTGCCCCTGGGCCGGCGCATCCACATGGACGACACGGGCCTCACCGTCCTGCGTATCCTCTCGCAGCGCAACAACGACGAGGTGGCCAAGGAGTTCGTCAAGCTCAAGTCAGACACGCGCTCAGCAGAAGAAGGCAGCAGTTAAGGCCCCCTCCCCGTAGTAGAACCTCCCCCCACCTCCATGTCCCTTATACAGCATGCTCCAGCCATGTAAAAGCCATACAGATCGTCTGACCAACTGCCCCTGTCCCCAGGTTAGGGAACAGAGCCCTACCCAGGACAGTCATTGCCCAGAACCAAGGATCCAGACACACTCCAGTGCCCCCCACCTGCCCACAGGCTGCAGTGATAGGGCACTGGCTGATCCAGAGTAGGGGTAGGGTAAGGGGGACACTTCCCTGCTGGAGGGCATATTAGCCTGTGGGGAGTGCCTCTCCCCAGCCTGTTTCAACTGCAAAAGACACCAGGAACATGGGGTACCCAGCAGTAAAGTCAGAGGGTGCTGTGGCCTTGTAGCAGGCTGGCCAACTCAGCA